TTGATTTGAGGGGGTTGCATTTCTCTCTTCATGGCTTGGTAATTAATTGTATTTCTGGATATTAAAGCCTTTTTGTTCAGCCATTCTGGGGAAGGCAAGTATGAAGCGACAAAAATGTAAGACAATCATTTGGTGTCCTTGAACGGCATTATTATGAAGAAAGTGTACAGAGTTCTCATCTGCAAGATATTCAACATCAGTAATCACATTTTTCATGAAGACAAATAAAAGGGAATTACATCCAGGTGCACACGTGTGCTCATCTCCCCAGTGGGTTGCTACAAAGATGTCCCCAAAGGCAGTTCCTGATTTCTGGGCAGGGTCACCAGTAAAGGCAGTTTAAAAGGCTGGTGTGATTGGCATCTGGATACTACAATAGTCAAACATTCCCCCAAATGATCATGGACCTGTTTTCGCTAATAGGAAAAGAAGTGACAAGGAGAGAAAGGGTCACCTTTGGAACGCCAATCTGAGGATTTTAGTTTGCTGTTTTTACCAGTTCCGTTTGGATTACTAGCATTACATGGAAAGGACTAAATTCTTTGTGTAAATCAAATGGATTTACTCTGCATTCCTGAAAAAAAATAAGCAAATCTTTTTTTTCCCTCTGAAGACACAACGATAGCCCCCTTCCAACTGTGGACGGGGGTAGGGGGTGCAGTTTTGGAAGGATGAAGCACTGTTAACCCCATGTAACCAAGGGAATATTTCATTATGAGTATTCAGATGTTTTCTAGTTATAAGATCATGAAATTATGTTTAATTTGCTGCTTCTTTACATCCTCTGATATAAGCCAGAAATCGCACATTCATTTCATGTTGAGTAATTTTCCCCATATCACTAAAGTTATCCCTAGAAGTTAACTTATCCCCACAAATTCTTCAGAATAGTAGCAAAAAAGCATAAAAATACGTTAATCTTAAAATTGTGAATGCAATATTATATGAAAGAACTTTAACAAAACAACTTATTTAAAAAGCTAAGTGTTTTTAAACTCAGATGCCTTGGTAATAACTTCTATTTTGAATTTTTGAGGCTACATAAATATCCTGTGTTTATTGACTTGGAATTTTAGAGGTTAAGACACTGATCATCCAGTACAACCCTTGGTTTAATGGATGAGCATGATTAGACCCACAGGAAAGCAGTTTGTCTAACGTCTCAACACTAGGTAGATTAATTTAACTGTTTTCAATAACAAAATTCAATATCACAATTTAATATAGAAATTGCATATTACTCATACCCTAGATATAACATTTAGGCAAACATATTGTACATGTAGCGGCAGATGACTTAATAGAATGCTGACTTAATGAATTGCAGAAGACTCTTAGGAAAGCTCCTGTCTCATAGTAGGCACTTAATAAATATTTGTTAAGTGAGTGACAGCTAATAGCTAATGTTTATGACTGTAAAGCAATCTATGTGGCAGGCACTGTGCTAAGGTGGGCTATCTCCTGTGATCCTTATCTACTGGCTAGATCTCAATACTATAATTAGTATTATTATGCCAATTTTAAAGAAAAGGAAAGCAGAGGCACAAAAATGATTAAGTGGTTTTTCTAATTACATTTAGCTAATAAATAATGGAACCTGGATCTGAAACTTACTAGTTAGCCTACTCCCAAAGCCCTCATTCTTAATCATACAGAAATGGGAGAGTTATTTGTACTATGATATACACAACTGATAATATACCCTTCCTGGAAATCAGATTTTCGAAAGAACATTTGTATCAGAAAGGAAAGGGGACCAAAAAGATATCGACCCCCAGATTTTGACAGAGCTCACCCTTACGATAACAAGGTTAGTAATTTCTAATAGTAAGCAACATAGGCATATATTAACGTGTTTGAATTATTTTCATTCTATCATATGCGGTAAAAACATTTAAAGCAAATATGGAAAAAGGGTGAGCTATGTAAGAGATTCCTTTCTTCAACTGCAATAATAATACTGAGGATTTCAACATAATGCTATGACCACGGAACATGTTATGAATGTATTTACAAATCCTATCATTGATGGGTGAAATATGACGTTCATTTTCTTATATAAAATATGTATAATAATATACAACACTGTATATTTGTTTTTGAGTTATTTGATATCTCTATTCATATTTCAGGAATCATATTAGTTAAGAGTTTGAGATTTTGAAATGAATCAAAATAAGACATCCTACTTCTTCTTATAATTATTCACTTTTTCAATATAATTCATCATCTTACAGATTTCCAGGATTTGCTCATTAAATACACCTCCAAGTCGAAAAACTGCATGAAATACACAGGTATGTGCACTGAAAGCTCTACTGGACACACAGCAGCTCAGCCCATTGAAAATAATTTTGCTCAGTGTTAAACATCAAGCTTTATTAACACTCGAGAATTAATTGCTATGGGGAAAGAAATCTTTTCCCCAGAAGTCTTTGGGGACACAAGCAAATAAACAACATCAATACTATTTACCGTTCATTATCTAAAAAGCCAAAAATATGAAAGATAAATCTGAAAAGTTTAGCAGTGTTGGGCAAGGCAGATTTGGGTGAAATGATTTCATCTCCTTTCCTCATTTATGACTTTCAGATACTTCTTATTCCACAGCTTTCAAAGAACTGTCGTTGGGTGCCCCTTCCCCTTCTGCGGCAAAGCACCAGCTTCTGAACCAAAAGCCTCCAATGCACATTTTACCTCTAAAATTCTGCAGCTGTGGCACTTTCTGGGGAGCCAGTTACTGGAGCCTCATTTTCTCACGGACCATGTAGGGGAAAGTACTTACCTTTGAACTTGTACATAGGGTTGTCAAGGGATTGGGTGAGAGAATGTATAGATAAAGCAGATGTACGATGCCAATTATACACTCACCTTTCTACACTAGAAGATGCAAGTTAAAGGAAAACCATTGAGTTGGTTTTGTAAACTAGTCCTGGCTCATAATTGGATAAATTTAGTTAAATCATGATAATAATGAATATTTTCATAATGAAAATAATGAAAAATGTAAACCAGCTCAATAAAAGTCTCCAACCAAACCTGCCAACTGAGTCAAAGGGTCAAACCAATCATTTGATGGTGACCTCGTTCCTTTAAAAGTTAAGAGAGCCTTAAAAGCTAGCAAAGCTATAATAAAAAGGAGCCAGCAAGGCCCCAGAACGTGCCCGATTGCAGAAGAACTCCTATTCTCCAGGAATCACCAAAGCTCCAGGGAGCAATTCAAGCCAAAACCGTGATCTCCCTGCCTTGTCCTTCAAATGATGTGCACTCCAAACACATTTTCCGTGCAGCTGGAGGCTTTGTTATAGACAGAAGGACGCTGCTTAGTGAGGCCTGTGTTTACAGCTTAACTTTTTTAAAGAGGAATTTGGAAAACTTCCCAGACACTACATCTGCCCCGAGCCCTTCCACCTCGGAGTATAAGGCCGGTGAGGGAGACAGCACAGACGACTAAATTTATTAACAGTGGACGGGCCACTCTATCTTTCACGGCAACAACAGTAGGTGATCCCATCAAAAATCTGTCTGCTGGCTAGCCAGCAAATCCAAGCTGACATGCTCGCTGCCGCGATACCCAGATGAATGGGAATGAAGGCTGTTTCCTCGAAGAAACACATCATGAGCCAAATGCTGGACCAGGAAGGCAGTAACTAGTTCCATCTGAGAAAAAGTCCTTCACTTTTTAACCATTGGTTCTTCTCCAGATACCTATCTTCCCCCTCCCCCCCCCCTTTTTTTTTTTGACTTTTACAAATACTAAGCAGAAGCTGAGCATTTTAGGGGAGCTCAATAGTTGAATTTCCAAAACTTAGTGAGGAGTTTGATGTACTGGGCCAGGGGTGAAACACACATTAATCTCAATATAATCTCAGCCAGAACTTAATCATGATTCATTACAAACATACATCAGCAGCCATCCTCACTTAAAAGCAAACTATTTACGATTTTAGGTAAAAATAAAATGATACTTGAGCTACATTTTATAGCTCAAATTCCATTTCATTGTCCTCAACATATTCAACATTTTAAAGGCTAGCTATATGTTCCACAATGACTTTCTCATGGATTAAATTAATATCATCATGAGTTTACAGAATATACATTTTTACTTTATAATTTCTTTAAATGGGAAAATAAAGTATATATCATAATTATAGTTTTCTGTATCTGTAATAAAGTAACACTTAAAAACTGTAATTCATAGAGGTAACAGGACTTCCAGAATATTCTAATACCAGTAAGACCAGGAATCAAATGAGATACATGAGGTCACACAGTGAGGGGTGGATCTTGTCTTCATTTAAAATTTTTATATTTTATTGGGGACTTTATTTGCACTGATTTTTATTTTAAAACTATTGTACTAAAACACTATTTATGTTGATTACTGGGTTTTTGGTGCCTTGAAATTTTGTGCCTCACTTGACTGACTCTAGGCCTGACCCAGAAAAGGTATGTTATCCCTGAAATTACTGTTTCCTGTAATGCTCTCCACAGAACATAGTGTATTAACAGTTGTTATACTTAAAAAAAAGTTACATCAAATAAGCTCTAGGAATACTTAGTTAAACAAAGTTAAATAGCTTTCTTAAAATTCTCTTTAGAGATTTTAATAACCTGATGTGTACTGAGACTCTCTGATAAGATAGGCATTTCTCAAACTCATTTGCCCACAGAACTCTCTTCATAGAGCAACTGAAAAATATTCCAAGAAACACAGCCTGGTAAATACTGTCCAAGAGTCATTTCCAGCACATACTTTGAACCAATAGGCCTGCCTTTCCACATCTACTTTTTTTTCCCCTTTCTTTCCTCCACTTACCTGAATTCTTTTCCAGAATAGTAAAAAGGTACATATGTTGACAGAACCAAAGTTATAAAAGGCCTACATTAGTGTCTCTATAAACAAGCATAGCAAACATTCACTGTAAACGGACATCAAAATAACTGGAAATACCTCAGGGCTCAGGGCCTCTTGAAACAATGTCAAGCACACTTACCGGTGAAGTCTGTATTGACTGGGTGAGTGGAGCTGGGAAATCTGTAATATCCATTTCCTACGAAACGAGTTCCTTTCATCATCGTGGCCCCCGGAGCTGGCAGAGATGCCTCCCTCCTTTCCAGCTGATAGGTAGGGGAGGGTCCATTCTGTTCTTCAGGTGGGAGCCACCTAAGGTGGACGGCTGTGCTGTTGATTCCTTCAACCAGAGGTGGCCGCAGCTGGGCTGGTGCTATGTATTAGAAAAGCCTTGTTACTTTCAAGGATGTGATTTCTGTCTCCAGACACACATATGCACACATATGTCCACGTGTCCCTGCATACATCACACTCAAAATCAAATCAGCATGGTCTCGAATATTCATATGGTTCTAGGAACTGAAAACATGAGATAGAGTTCATCTTAAATGTGACTAAAGAACATTTAAATGACTAATAAACACGCATTTATCATTAAACAAATTTTTTTCTTACAAATAATTTCTCTATTTTCTCTTACTCCATAACAGATACTATACATTACATTCTGTTGGTGCCCCACCCAGATTCCCTTTACTAAGCAGGTGCTTAAGGGCTACAGCTCCTGTGCGTGCTGGTCTCTCATGACGCATGGCTGCTCCGTTTTCTAGAGAAATCCCTTGAGTGGGAGCTACCCAACCCAGGAGCTACACCTTGTGAAACCAGTGACTACCAGCCAATGGTTAATGATCACAAAGCACAGAGTCCCTTGTCTTAACGAGGCATCAAGTCAGGGCTGTAATTCACAGAAGCCAAGCAGGTAAAGAAAATGGTTGAAATGGGCTCCTTGGGGAGACAAAGAAACTGTGGGATCAGAGAAGAACACGGTGGAGGTAAATTAAGTTGTGGCAGCCAGCACTTGATTTGGGAATGATGACCCAATGCTGCCAATATTTTGTTTAAAAAAAAAAGTCATTTTACACATAATTTTCTGATTTTTAAAATTTAGCATCTGGTCTAAATTAAAATAAGCAAGCAAAAACCAAACAAAGCATCCACATGGAAGAACGAGCCTGTGTCTTGTCCAGCATAAAAGACTGTGGGCAGCGTCGTGGGCCTTGGAGTGACCACACCACCAGCAGCAGTGGCCTGGGCCTTGGGCAGTGAATGTCCAGCGCCTATACACATGCTGGGGACATGCTTTGTGGTCCTGGGACACAGGCAATCCTTTGGAGCCTCCAGAGAAGCTCCAGGAGTAATAGGTTTGAAACTTTCCTTAAAACCTACTGGATTCAAAAAGATACATGCATCCCAATGTTAACAACAGCACTATATACAACAGCCAAGACATGGAAACAACCTAAATGTCTATCAACAAAGGACTGGACAAAGAAGCTGTGGTACACTTATACAATGGAATACCACTCCGCCATAGAAAAGAATAAAACAATGTCATTCGCAGCAACATGGATGGACCTGGAGATGGTCAGTCTAAGTGAAAAGCCAGAAAGAGAAAGAAAAAATATTGTATGACATCACTCATATGTGGAATCTTAAAAAAAGACACAAATGAACTCATTTACAAATCAGAAACAGACTCACGGACATAGAAAACAAATTTACGGTTACCAGGGCGGGAAGTGGGTAAGAAGGTATAAATGAGGAGTTTGAGATCTGCAGATACTAACTACTATATATATAATAGATAAACAAATTGTTTTCTGTATAGCACAGGGAACTATATTCAGTATCTTGTAATGATGTATAATGAAAAAGAATATGAAAACAAATACATGTATGTGTATGTATTTCTGAAACATGCTATACACCATTGACACAACATTGTAAACTGACTATACTTCAATAAAAATAAAAATAAAAATAAAAATACCTACTGGAAAGGAATCAGACTAATAACAAAGTTGTTGAAAATGAAGGCTTGTTTTGATTTTTATTTTCTTAAAACAGTTGAGTTTGTAGGATGAGATAAATATCTACTCTTAAGTGTGTCAGCTGGACTAGAGGGGTGAAAGTGAAGAAAGGAAAAAAAGTCCTAATCACCAGGCCTATTTATTAAGGACCTAAACTAAGGCTGTGGACTTTTCATTTACACATATGTTAACACAGCCTTATGCAGGCACAATCTTTGCCTGTTTCAATAAATGTAATTTAAAATGATGTGAATACAAAAACTAGTATCTTTAAACCAAGAAAGGAAATTCACCTTAAAACAGCTTAGAACAGTGACCACGTGTTACTCTCTAGAAAGGTTGGCCAGCTTTGCAAAGAGAAACAATTAACTGTGATTCCATTTTCAAGTTTAGGAAAGGAGAGAGGGCACTGAGCAAAAAGTTCATCAACTCAGAAAGATAATTAACAATTCTATTCTTCTTCTGCCACTGCGAACCCTGTGATATTTTTGCTCTTACACATGTGGATCTGTAAATTTTATGCATGATTTCCTTTAGTATTCTTTGCCAAAAATTAGCTAAATGGTGGGTTCTCAAAGATTTCTTTCTATAAGCTATGATCCCTCTTCAAAATAATCCAAAACAAAATGAAAAGCTAAGCCATGCAGAAGTTTCTCCTCCCACTAATCTCATCTTCAGAGTGTGGAGTTCTATCTTTGTATTAAAAGGTCAGCAAGCCATTATTGGCTATCAGCTTAACTGCAGAAGGAGGACTGTCAAAATTTTTGGGTCTTGAGCTCAGGGAAGCAATGGAGGACCAATTACATCTTTTTTAATTGTCTAAAATTTGCTACTCAGAAATACAAAAGAGGAATTTTGATTTCTTCTCTTACATTTTCTGTATTCCCTTTAAGATTCCCTAGTGTTCTGGACACAAGGACTTGAACGTTTTAGTTTGAAAAATACCCTCTATTCCAGTGATAACCGATAGAACTTTCTCTAGTGGAAATGTTCTAGATTTGTACTGTCTAACGTGGTGGGTACTAGCCACAAATGACTACTGAGCACTTAATATGTGGCTAGTAAGACTGAGGACTGGAATTTTTAATTTTACTAATTTTATTTTAAATTTAAATAGCCACATATATACCTACCATGGCTACTATGTTGTACAGCAAAGACTTAGAGAATCACAAATTAAACATATTTGATGTGTTAAGAACAGAATTTCCATTTTAACTAAATATTTAGTGAAATTATGAATAAGCTTCCTATACTTCTTAATAACTGAAGAATTTTATTTTTACTTAAAAGCTGCTTCTTTCTCAAGGTCCCATTTGTTTGACATTTGATAGTCTTTTGCTTTACTCCAGTCACCCAGGTGGATGAGGATAACGTAGCTTTGTACCACCACTGTATTCAGAGTTCTTTCCTCACTGATACATAATCCAAAATCACTTCTTAAGCAGGAATATAATTTCAGAGTCAAACAAAATAAAAGGAATTCCAGCAACTCGACAGGTTGCTTTTCTGTTTGTTTTAGTATCTACTAAAAGTGAGAGGACACAATTTTTTAAATATGGCAAAATGATTATTATCAATGAGGACTCGTGTGCATTGAGAATCCACTAAAATTCATGTTGACTATTTAACAAGTGGTGGAGCTTCTAGGTTCACAGGAGAATTACTCCACCAAGCATTTAAACTGCTCTTAGGAAGTCGAGTACAAAGAATGAGTGGAACTAGAGTGTATACACACACACACACACACACACAGATGTGTATAAATATGTATATACACATTTTTATTCACTTGCTTAAAAATAAACATCTTTGCAGCTGGTAGGTTATAGTTTCACTTGGGGGGAGTCAACCCAGCCTGCTTCAAAGGGTAAGCACCTACCCAGTAATTATCTTCAGAGTTCCCCTAAGACCAGAAAGGGAATTTTCAATCAATTAAACTAGACTGATCTCGCACACACATACACAAGCAAAAATGATAAGAAAAATACGTACTCCTGAACTGTTAAAAACATGCACACAAACACAGACTCACTAAGAGACAGGGCGGGTAGAAGACCATAGCTCAGACATAAAAGCACAGGGAGTACAGCTATGAATTTGTTATCACAAAACAGTAAATTAAGAGACAACATAAAACAATGGAAAAGTCTCTTCAGACTTTTAGAGATTGTAATTTTCACTTTTTATCTATTTCTACATGATTTTTAGATAAATCACTTCAAACCTATGTGCCTCGGTTTTCCCACCAACAACACAAGGATAAATGTTCAATGGAATACTTTGACAATAACTGCTTTTAAAAACAATATACATAATTGCCTTTGGTTTTACAAAACAAATTTCTGTACAAATACAAGGCACTATTATTACTAGCCAATAAAACATCTTTCAAACTACATATTATGTAATGACTCAATTCACCCACATTCAAAATCTATCTGTATTTACTAATAAAATCCTCTTATAAATGTAAAGTATCACATGGATCTTCAATATCCATCATTTCAAAGAATAACAACATGCAAAGTCTTTTTCCACTTGGAATAAAATTACAACGTTCTTGTATTTTTTGCAGTAGCTCTGTAATCCAATTTCTGGTCTAGCTCTTCTATTTATAAGCATTCTTTTATAAAAACACTCTGCAGTATACATTCTTCTTTATGCAGCATTTACTACTTTATAATCTGATTAATAGCATATCATAATGCATAAATTTACACTTGCAAAATTTATGTAGTGTGGAGTTTGAGCATCCTAGGATAAGAACCATAGAAGAAATGAGCAGAAGCTCTGGCTGATGACAGGTCTTTAAAATCGAATCTGTTTTCAAGGAAGACTTTGTTGTCTGTGAAGACTGCATGGCTGTGTCAGTATCTTAAAACATCAACTTTCTATCGGGAAGACAGCAAACTAGGAATGAACAGCCTTCTCGCATCTCGGGGGTGAGAGGCGAGCAGACTAACAGAAGACATCCTCAGGCGTCTCGTCAGTGGAAAATGATTCTCCTGTTTCTCAGAGATGCAAACTGTCCCAGGAAACGTGGTCTGTCACACAACGTTGTGCCCAAACACCTGTGAAAGGGCACTGGGACCAGGATTTAAACATGAAATCCAGGATTGGTCGTGAAGCCCTGATTTCCCAGTTGGCAACGTGTCTCCAATCGGTGTCCAGGAGACTAAAGGATTCTCCCCTAGACTCTCAGAAGTTTCTCAATGCTGCCTTGTTGACTATCCATTCTCTGACTAAGGAAAGAAGAACAAAATCTATTTTGCCATTTCCTTCTTAGTTTTCTAGTCTCCTTCAAGAGAGGAGATGTAAACTGAAAAGCAGAAAACTTAGG